GCAAAATAGACAAGCGGTCACAGCTTCAGGACACCCGCCCCTTGTGGTCCAAGAGCTCAGAAGACACAGGAAGCCATCTGAGACATGTTCACCACCTGGATCACTTTTACTGCACGTCAACACACAGTTCTTCATGTGCAGAGTCTGAGCTGATTAGTCCTTGGGCACTCTTCCTCCAATTTTCCCTCCATGCAGCCACACTGCCACCTTCAAGTGCATTCCTGGTCCATCTTGGCTTTCTGTCATCACTCACCGACCCATTCACATAGCCCAGCTTTGGTGAAGGGTCGCCAGGGGATAAATAACCAGCCCCCAGCAGGCACGAAGACAGCTCCCAGCCCTGGAATGCTGGAGACGTTGCACAGGACCACTGGAATTGTCAAGAGAGGCAGCTTGCCCAGAAAGATGCAGGAAGTCAGCCATGCGCTTCCTGACAGAGGGAAGGAAATTCTGAGGGAGGGTGTGGTGTCCTGCACGCGGCCGATGTGTTCAGCCAATAGGCCTGTGCATTCAGATCACAGGGTCCAGTCCAATTGGTGATGATGGTGCCCGATTTCCCAAATCTGTTCCTGTTTGTTGTCCTGTTCCCCCTCTTCCCTTCCCACTTTTCTTCCTCAGGTTCCTGACCCCACTGGGCTGAACTCTGGATTCAGAGCGCTGAGTACCAGCCTGCCTGGGGCTCTGTGGACCTGGTTTCACATGTGATCTCTCTCATATACTCTGGTAATTGCTCTCCCCTGGATCCTCCCAATGACCCTCACGGCCTGAGGGTGTCCTCTCTGCTCCACGTCCCTGGCTCCTGTTGAGTCTGACCAAATCCTTCTCAAAGCAAAGTAGAAATGTCCTGTCCATATTTCAGAATGTTAAATAATCTGTGATTTTTATTAGAATGTGAATTGGTACAGTATTTTTTGTAATGAAATTTTAAAATATTTATAAAATGTTAAACTATTAACAACCTTTTCATTTTAACCCAATACCCATGTTAATACATTTCTTATAAGAAAACATTCATGTTTGCCCAATAATTCATATTCAAAGATATTTATTTTATTTAGTATATCATACAGCAAATGGTAAATAATGTATGTGTTTATTAGGAAGAAAGAGTTTAATTAATTATGGTGCATGCCTACTTTAGAATTATAGAAAGTAGTTTCAAAAGAGAGATAGATGTATATATGTACTGTTGTGGAAAGATCCCATATCCATTTTATGAAGGGACAAACACAAATGGCAGGTCAATATGTACATCATTATTCTCTTATATTAAATAAAAATAATATATTGTTATAGCTTATGTGTCAGTGAAGAGCCTAGAGTCAGCTTTAAAATAATACACACCAGATGGTTAATTGTGGGACCTCTGAGGAGGGGGCTAAACCATGGAAGAGCTTTGGGAAGTTTAAAATTGTAAATTATCTACATTCCTATAATTTTTGCAATAAGAATATACTAACTACCACCTTTTAAATAAAAAATATTTACATCTAACACAGAAGTAGCAGCTGTGTCAGTTAAAGTAACTGCTAGCTGATGCAACAAACTGTGAAATTTCAATGGCTTGACACAACAGAAGTTTATTTTATGCACACCTAAGTTCTGACTTGGTTTGGCAGAGACTCTCCACTCCCACATGACTTGGGGATCCATGTTACTTCCACCTTGTGATTCCATCATCTCAAGCTGAAGCTGCCATGTTTGCCATTGAAAGGAGGGAGAAAGCATGGAACTGGCACATTGGCTGTCACGTGCCTGGATGTGACAAACAATGCTTCTGCTCTTGTTTCAGTGGTAACAGGTTGTCACACTACTCTTCTTAACTGCAAGTGAACTGTGCCTATGTGTCAAAGAAAGAGAGGAAGACAAGGTGTGGGTGAGTACTATAGTCTCCCCCATAAACTGTTACATAGTAAGTGCTCAATAAAAGGCAACTATTAATATTATAATTTGGTGTTACACAATCCATCTCATTTCTAGGAGTTTCTGAGAAGGTCAAATTTGCCTTGAAGTTCTCCGACTTGTTCAAGTGCCTAATATGTGACTGATGGTTTCAAATGTAGGCTCACAACTGTCCAAGAATCTTGAAAGTTTCAGCAGGAAGGCTTCCCTTTGCAATACCCTTTATTTTTTTTAACTTTTATTTTAGGTTTGGGGGTACATGTGAAGGTTTGTCACATACATAAACAAGAGTCACAGGAGTTTGTTGTATATATTATTTCATCATCCAGGTATTAAGCCCAGTATCCAATAGGTATCTTTTCTGATCCTCTCCCTCCTGCCACCCTCCCTGCCTCAAGTAGACTTCAGTGTCTGTTATTTCCTTCTTTGTGTTCGTAAGTTCTTCTCATTTAGCTCCCTCTAAGTAGGCCGAGAATATTTTCTTCCATTTGATTCCTGGTTAAAATCTTAACCTGTGAGACTCTGCTACCCTCCACATACCTGAACACTTGTCAGTGCCTCTAGGCACATTGAAAGCCAGTATTTTTCCATGGGGCAGGTAAGCACACAAGAGGCAGTAGAAGGCTGCTTAATTATTCCTTTATCATGAGAGCTGACATGTATTCCAAGGAATCATTTTTCACCTCCTGGGAGACTATAGGGATATAGGAATTCAGCCTCAGTATGTACATGTTTGTTCCACTGGGATTTTCAAAGTTTTTCCCCACCTAATACTCATGAGGGAGGCTTTGGTTTTAAAGCATTCATCTGTGTATGTGTTCAGAGCTGGATTTCAAATAAAACACCCTGTTAAAGTCCAATTTCAAGTATCAAGGTGGTTTCAAACCCCCTTTAACTTCAGGGTGACATGCCAAAAACTGATGGATAATATGGCAAATCAGACTCTACTCAACCCATTTGGAAAACACTTGAAGACTGTGTTGAAGGTAACCAGAGTGACACCCAGTTGTCTAAAAGTCACTGTCCCTATGTAAATTTTATATCAAAAAGGTTGCTTATATCACATGGCTTCCTGGGTGAGAGATGGGACAGCCAGAGGACTTCTACAGGGAGAAGGAATGCTCCCTGTCAAGAGGTGAGCAGGTGATTTGGGGCTGTTCTGTGGGGACCAGTGGCAAAGTGGTCAGCAGGTAAGTTTCCAGAGTCAGACAGGACACATGGAAGTGACCAGAGGAAATGCGCTGTAGTTTCAGAAAGTGCTGGGACTGGACAGAAATGCCCACACCTGGGCAGACTCAGCTCTCAAAGAACCCAGCACAAACCAGCCCCATAAATGGGGTTTGATTCTCATTGCCAAGCCTGCTTTTAGTAATGTTGGCCTCAAGGTCCTTATTTTTGTCACCTGAGAGACATGGTGCAGTGCTGAGAAGAGAAATGAAGTACCAGTTGGGAGGTCAACCTCAGGCTGGGGGGAATGGGGACAGCATGGGCTCTAAAGAAATTCAGAGCAGGGGTCTGGTTCCAGCCCTGTTCCTTACTAGCCACATGATCCTGGGGATATCCAGGAAATACTCTGTTATTATGTCCCAATTCACAAGCCCTGTGAGCCTTGAATTCTTCTCTTTTAAGCAGATGTGATAAGCCCTGTCTAGTAGGACTATTGGAGTGTGTGCAATGTAGGTGAAGCACCTGGCTCAGGGCCTGGAATTAAATTAGAAGTTTAAGGAATGGCAGATAGCTGGTATTTCTGATATTGTTTGACCCCAGACCCTAGCATTCTGGGATTTTGTTGTCATTGTTCTTCAAGACTGATCAGAGAATATCCAACTCAATAGGGCATGGAATCATTAGCCAAATAAGGAAGTTTCATCCATAAAATTCAGTAAGAATTATCACTTAGAGAATGTGCCTCAAAATTTGGGTGTGTGGGAGATTTCCCCAGCCAGATGCAGCTCAAAGCTCCTAGAATTTGAGTCAAAGACCAACTGCTTCCCTCGCTCCCAGCTGCTTTTCCATCCATACCACTATTTTCATTGTTACCACCCAAAATCTAGCCCCTGCTTACAATTGGTCACATTGCACTTAAGATAACCTAGTTAGAATGCCTTTTTAATAGTCAGTTCTGGTTCTCCCAGCCAGGTAGAAAAGCACCTGGCCAGTGGCTTCTGGGTCTCCCTTTTGGGGAGACACAAGTTTATCTCACAGGAAACCCTTGCAAATAATGGGTGCCCATCACCTAGCTCATGCACTGTGTTCACAAGACACCTTCCATTCCCGCCCCAGGTAGAGGCTTCTCTGTTCATCCACTGTCAAAAAGGAACTGCTCAGAGCACTTTTCCAATCTGGGCTTTTCCCTCTCCCTCTGAGGATCTGGCCCTTGACCCACCAGGCTTCATTACAATCAGATCCCTCAGAAGAAAATGCAGTTTCCCAAAGCCCAAAAGGCCCCACACAGGGAATTTACACTCGACCACTCTCACCTGGAGCCCCATACCCACACTCCTCTTACTTTTCCTCTACATCTTAGAGGACATCTTGCCACCTTAATTATATGACTGCAGCTCCTAGATTCTAATACCCTATGGGTAGGTGTGTGTCTGGCTTACCCTAGTATCTCCACTACTAATCCTGGGTCTTCCACAGAGCAGATGCTCAGTGCATAGAGAAGAAATGAGCCAGTGAACACAGATAATTATTTATTCAGATTTAATTTTTCTTACATTCACGAAGAAGCCAAGGAAATCCAAGTATGCGTATATATTTTTTAAATTTTACAGAGTAGACTGAGTATGTATAAGGCAGGAATTAAGTATTTTTTAATTTCTTTATCTCACATATCTTACGGTGAATTCACATTTCTAAATAAATACTTACTCCACTGCTGTTATTATGTCCCAATTTACAAAATAGAATGGATTTCCCAATCTGAATAAAAAACAAGACTCTTACACCTAAACTATATAAACAGCAATATATGTGACTACGACTCATAAACTTGGATGCTGAAGTTCATTCAACCATCCATTAAAAGGAACATTTGAACAATTCTAAAAGGAAACAGAGATAAATCTCCAAGTCACCCAATAAAACAGAAACTCACTACTAAGAATGCTGACTACTCTCTTCAAACAGTGAAGAATGGGCCTCATGCTACACAAGGCAGGGGAAGCTGCTGCACAGGGCAGATGACTGGCCCAGCCCAGCCGCCACCCCCCCACCCCCGCCCCAGGCCCTGGCTGCAACTCATGCTCAGACTCCCTCTTCCTCCTCTCTCAAAGCTGCTTCACGAAGGGATGGGTAGGAAATGCGAACTCTTGCATTGACCCTGACCACATGCTCCAGGACCTTCACATAGCTGGTTTCAGCCAGGGCCCTTGGACCCCACAGGAACTCGTAGCGTGCAGGATCACTGCCGGGTACCTTCCGGTACTCCAGGTAGTTCTCCTGCACCCACTCTTGGGTGAGCAGTTTCCTGGGCTCCCCATAGACACTGTGCTCCCTCCCATCATACACATCCATCACACTCAGCTCCTCCCAGATTTCCTCCTCAGATGCAGAGTCGCCCTCCATTGCGATAGTGCCCAGGACGATTATCAAGAGGCCTGTCTTGGGAAAGATATGATTACCACCCAGCAGGCCATCGTAGGAGAGGCCCAGGCAGGTGACAAGGGTGTAGGTGTTGCTGGTGGGGTCCACTTCCTTCACATCAATGCCAAAGATCATCTTCAGGGACTCAGAGGCTTTGCCGAAGATCACAGGAAAGCAGTGCTTGTAATTTTTGATGACTCTCTCCAGCATTTCTGCCTTTGTGACCAGCTCCTTGGCTCGATACTTGAGGAGCAGAAAATGAACCAACTCATCCACCTTCTTACTGAGTGCTTCTCGGAACAAGGACTCTGGGTCAGGAGAGGTGCTTGGCCCCTCCTCTTCTTGGCTGCTGGAACCCTCATTGGGTTGCCTCCAGCAAGTGAAGTTGACGGTAGAGGGTAAGGCGGAGGCTCCCTGAGGACTCTGGGGAGGACCTGTTGACCCAGCAGCAGGCACTTCCTCCAGGGTGCCAGGGACCAGAGGAGAGGAGGAGGAGGCAGCAGCCTCCTTCTCCTCAGTAGCAGGAGCCTGCGCACCCACTAGGCCCAGGGCCTCTTCTTGGGCCTCAACGCCTTCCTCAGGCTTGCAGTGCTGACTCTTCTGCTCAAGAGACATGATGACTCTGGTCAGGGCAGCAGGTGGGAGTGTAGGCAAAAGCTGGGCAGTGGGGACCCACAGGCCTGGGGAGAGAGGGAGCATGTGAGAGGCCTCAGCTGAGAACCGAATCTTGGAGGCTCTAACAAAGGCTTACTTACAGATCTTCTCCTTGGTGCTCCTCTGTGATCTCCAAGGAATCCTGTCCTCCGGGTTGGCCTATCCCCTGAGAACCTAAAGGAGGAAGTGAGAGAGCACCTCAGGGTATAGCCGGCCAGCAGAGGTCGATTCTGCAGGACTAACAGGAGGTGAGGTCAGACTCTCTGAAGTTCCACGTGTCCTATGCCAAGTGGGGCCCTTGGTGTGCATTCAGGGCAAACATTCACTGCTGGCACAGCCTGTGCACCCTCTGCTCTGTGACTTGAGGACACAAGTCTCAGACCAAGGCCTCATTGCCTTGTTCCTGGAGCTCCTAGGAGATGAATCCATGGGCCCTTAGGGTGCCGACTATAAGCACAGCCCCAGTCCCTCAGTGCTATCAAGAGGGCAGGCTGGACTCTGTGAGGTCCCCACTCTCATAGAGTGGATGGTCCACTCTGTGGTCACTCAGGGCCCTCACATTTCTCCAGGCAGGGCCTGGATTCCACCGTTTTGCTGGCCTGAGAAATTCAGATCAAGCACTCACGTGCCTGAGAGGAAACAGGACATGAGGGGCCCCACATCTGGCCACATGTGCCTAGGTCCTCTGAAGAATGACAGCAAGAGATGTCAAAATTCATTGGAACCCATGTGTCCTGGGTGAGGAGCCTGCTTGGTCCTCACCTCAACTCCTGGCAGAGCCTGGGACCTTCCCTCTACTGACCTGGGTGCAGCCCCTCAGACCAAGGCCTCCCCCTCCGTGACATCAGTGATCCCAGGACAAGAGAGGGACCTCAGCAGACAGCCAAGCCCATGCTCTCTGGGGTGACAACCGGAGCAAGGCTGATTTCTGTGGAGTCATCGTCTGCGTTCTGGCCCTGTGGTACCCTCAATCTTCCCTCACATTCCTCACCAGGACTCTTGGCAGATCCTGGGACCACTGTGTCTGTTGACCAGATAGAGGTCTGTGTTGACCTGAGTAACCCTCTGAGAACAAGGTCCTAACCTCACTGAGATCTGCAATCAGAAATGAGGAGCCACATCCTGTCACCCCTGTGCGGGGAGTCCACAGCTGACCCCTTTGGTCCTGGGGTGAGGGTTCTGATGGCCTCCTGTGGGTCACTCATGTTTGCTCCCAACGGGGCCTGCCCTTCCTCAACCCCCAACCCCCTGAGATGAGCAGATATTGCCCCTTTACTCCAAGACCTCATCTTCCTGAAGGTTCTCCAACTTCCTGCCTATGGTACAAGTAAGATTGGCACATAAGGCCATCCCTGCTCTGGTCCCCCCGAGCTAAGAACAGGGGACAGCCAGACTCTGCGGGGTCCCGTCTTTCTGAGCCACAGGTATCCTCAGACCATAGCCCTCTCCTCTCTGTGACCTTGAAGGTGCAGGAAGCATGAGCTACATGTGGCTACCTTGCTCAGGACCTCCCAGGGCCCAGGTCTCCACTGATCTGGAATGCAAGGACCCCTGAGTCCTCCCTCGTCTTCCTTTCCTTGATCCTGGAAGGGCTGGAACCCACCCCTCTGCTGACCTGAGTCACCATCCCTTGGATTCCCGAGGCTAAAAGAGGAGGCACCTCATTCTCAGACGGGGTGGGGTGGGCTCCCTGCCTTGGGATGCTGGGTCTCCTGAGTCCTTCCTCGTCTCCCAGGAGAGCCAGGGTCCTCCCTCTGCTACCCTGAGGCTCTGCTCATGATACCAAGTCCCTTCCCTCCTTCAGCCCTGGATGTGGATATCAAGATCCGAGTGCCTGATCATTCCCAGGTCTTCCGTCGGTTGACTGCAGGGGAAAAAATGGATTCTGCAAAACGGAATTGGGGATGGGGTTGAGGATCTGGATGGTGGGGGGATGCTGGAATGTGGAAGGGGTGGGAATGTAGGTCCCTCAATTCCCTCTCAGGGTCCTGATTCTGATGCCAGGCAGAGCCTGGGCCCTGCCTTGGGCACACCAAGCTGTGACTCGAGTCCCCTGTGGCTTTAGTGGCAGTGGGAGCTGGGACGGCCTAGCCTGAGTCTTCCCCCGGGTGGTCCAGGGCTGGCAGGAGGGGCTGAGCTCGATTGTTTGGGGTCCTCTATCTGGAGTGGGGGCCTCCTCATTCCTTCATCAGAGTCTCACCTTGCCTCGTCACAGAGCTTGGGCCTGCTCTCCTCAGTCAATCTCAATTATCCCCTCAGGACCATGCCCTCGATTCTCTCTGACCCCCAAAACGTCCCAGCACCAAGTCTGGGGTTTCCCTGGATTGATAGCAGAAGGGGAACTGGATTCTGCCTGGTGAGGTTGGAGGGCAAGGAATGGGAAATGGGGCAGCGAAGTGGTAGCGGATTTGTGGGAATGGGGGTTAGAGTGGGATCTTGGGGGACCTCAGTTCCCTCTCAGGTTTCTGACTTTGATTCCTGGCAGATCCTGGGCCATGCCCTCTCCTAACCAGCCCTGCCCTGATCACACCAACCTCTGACTCCAGAGTCTCCTGTGGCTTAAACAAACGGGTTGCAACAGGGGCGGTGGTGGGGAGCAGCCCAGCCTGAGAAGTCGGCCTCCTGGGTGGTCCAGGGCTGGCAGTAGGGATGGTGCTGGATTAATTGGGGCCCTCTATCGGGGGGGGGCCCTTCTGAGACCTCCCTCAGCCTCTCACCTTGCCTCCTCAGAGCCTGGGCTCACTTCTCTCTGCTGATGTCAAGCTCCCCCTAAGGAGAACCTCGCTTCTCTCTAACTCCCAATGAGCAAGTCAGTGGCGTCACATTCGGGTACCAGGGACTTTCCTGGATTGACAGCAGGGGCTGAACTGTATTCTGCCAGGGTGGGGGTTCCGGTGGGAGGGGTGTGGGTGGAAAGGCAGAGCGGAAGGAGATCTGGGTTGAGGTATAGGGGTGGTAGATAGGGGTGGGAATGGCAATGAAGTGGGGGTTGGGTCATGAGAGTGGGGATTGCAGTGGACTCTTGGAGGCCCTCAGCCCTCCCTGAGATTCCTGACCTTGATGCCTGGCAGAGCCCAGATAGTGCCCTCTCCTAAGCATCCCTTCCATGGTCACACCACGCTCTGATTCCAGAGTCTCCTGTGGGGACCGGGTGTGGGGACAGGTGGTGGTGGGGTGGGAAGCTGGAGGCGGCGGCCTAGCCTGAGAAGTCAGCCTCCGCGGTGGTCCAGGGCTGGGACCTTCTATCAGGGATAAGGGTGTCCTGAATCCTCCCTCAGAGTCTGACTGCCTGCTCACAAAGCCTGGGCCCCCTTCTGTCTGACAATCTCAAGCCGTTCTTCAGAACCAGAACCTCGCTTCCCTCTAATCCCCAACGCACAAGTCAGTGGCATCACATCCGGCCACCCAGGGCTTGCCTGGATTGAAAGCAGGGGTGTAACCAGATTCTGCACGGATGGGGATGAAGGTGGGGGGCATGAGGCTGGTGGGGGGTGTTGGGGAGCATAGGGGCACAGGTGGGGGATGGGGGTACAGATGGGGTTGGGAGTGCAGATGGGAATGGGAACAGGGTAGGGGATAGGAATGGGGTGGGGGACGCTCCACCCTCTCCTAGGGTCCTGACGTTGAAGGTTAGCAAAGCCTGTCCCCACCAGTCTTGCACTGATTACACCAAGCTCTGACTGAACAGTCCCCTGCGGCTTAAGCGGCAGTGGAGTGGTGGGCCCCAGACTCAGATGTCCGCCCACGAGTGACCCAGGGCTGAAAGCAGGAGTGGTGCTAGATTATTTGGGGTCATCGATCTGCAGTGGGGAGGGTCTCCCGAGTCCTCCCTCAGCTTCTCACCTTGCCACCTCAGAGAGCCTGGGCCAGCTTCCCTCTGCCAAGCCCAAGCTGCCTGTCAGACCAAGAAGCTAGCTTCTCTCTAACCCCCAATGCGCAAGTCACTGGCATCACATCCGGGCACCTGGGGCTTCCCTGGGTTGAAAGTGGAACTGGAACCCGATTCAGCCTGGATGGGAGTAGAGGTTTTGGGGTGGGGATATGAGGGCAGTGATTCAGCCTGGATAGGGGTAGAGGTTTGGGGGTGGGGATATCAGGGTGGTGGGAGTTTGGGGAGGATAGGAGTACTGGTGGGGAATGGGGGTATAGATGGGGTTGGGAGTGTGGATGAAAATGGGAACGGGGTGGGGGACCCTCAGCCCTCTCTTACAGTCCTGAGGTTGACGCCTGGCAGAGCTTGCCCTCACCAGTCTTGCACTGATCACCCCAAGCTGTGACTCCAGAGTCCCCAGCGACTTCAGAGGCAGTGGGGTGGTGGGTGCCCCACACTCAAAAGTCCACCCACGGGTGGTGCAGGGCTGGCAGCAGGAGTGGTCCAGGATTATTTGGGGTCGCCTATCTGGGGTGGGGGCCTCCTGAGTCCTCCCTCAGCATCTCACCTTGACTCCTCACAGGGCCTGGCCCGCTTCCCCCCACCAGTCCCAAGGTACCGGTCAGACAAAGAAGCTTCTCTCTAACCCCCAATGCGCAAGTCAGTGGCATCACATCCGGGCACCTGGGACTTCCTTGGGTTGAAAGTGGAAGCGTGGATGGGAGTGGGAGGGGTGACGTTGGTGGAGGGGGCGGGTATTTTTGTGTGGGAGATGGTGGTATGAGGGTGGTGGGGGGTTGGGGAGGATAGGGTTGCTGGTGGGGGATGGGGGATGGAGGGTTGTGAATGGGAATGGAAACGGGGGGGGATGGGAATGGAGGTGGGGGATGGGAATAGGGGTGGGGGATGGGAATGCGGGTGGGGAATGGGAATAGGAGTGGGGTACGCTCACCCCTCCCTTATGGTCCTGAGGTTGATGCCCAGCAGAGCCTGCCCTCACCAGTCTTGCACTGATCACTCCAAGCTCTGACTCCAGAGTCCCCTGCGACTTCAGAGGCAGTGGGGTGGTGGGTGCCCCAGACTCAGAAGTCCGCCCACGGGTGGCCCAGGCCTGGCAGCAGGGGTGGTCCGGGATTATTTGGGGTCGTCTATCTGGGGTGGGGACTCCCGAGTCCTCCCTCAGCGTCTCACCTTGACTCCTCCCAGGGCCTGTCCCGCTTCCCTCCGCCAATCCCAAGCTGCCGGTCACACAGAGAAGCTCGCTTCTCTCTAACCCACAGTGCGCAAGTCAGTGGCCTCACATCCGGGCACCTGGGGCTTTCTTGGGTTGAAAGCGGAAGCGGAACCCGATTCAACGTGGATGGGGGAGGGAGGGGTGACGTTGGTGGAGGGGGTGGGAATTTTTGTGTGGGAGATGGCGGTATGAAGGTGGTGGGGGTTTGGGGAATATACCGGCGCTGGTGGGGGATGGGAGTGTGGATGGGTTTGGGAGTGCGAATGGGAATGGAAACGGGCTGGGGGATGGGAATGCGGGTGGGGGATGGGAACAGGAGTGGGGTACGCTCACCCCTCCCTTATGGTCCTGAGGTTGATGCCCGGCAGAGCCTGCCCTCACCAGTCTTGCACTGATCACCCCAAGCTCTGATTCCAGAGTCCCCTGCGACTTCAGAGGCAGTGGGGTGGTGGGTGCCCCAGACTCAGAAGTCCGCCCACGGGTGGCCCAGGCCTGGCAGCAGGGGTGGTCCGGGATTATTTGGGGGCATCTACCTGGAGTAGGGGCCTCCCGAGTCCTCCCTCAGCGTCTCACCTTGACTCCTCCCAGGGCCTGTCCGTTTCCCTCCGCCAATCCCAAGCTGCCGGTCACACAGAGAAGCTCGCTTCTCTCTAACCCGCAGTGTGTAAGTCAGTGGCCTCACATCCGGGCACCTGGGGCTTTCTTGGGTTGAAAGCGGAAGCGGAACCCGATTCAACGTGGATGGGGGAGGGAGGGGTGACGTTGTGGAGGGGGCGGGAACTTTTGTGTGGGAGATGGCGGTATGAAAGTCGTGGGGGGTTGGGGAATATACCGACGCTGGTGGGGGATGGGAGTGTGGATGGGTTAGGGAGTGCGAATGGGAATGGAAACGGGCTGGGGGATGGGAATGCGGGTGGGGGATGGGAATAGGAGTGGGGTACGCTCACTCCTCCCTTATGGTCCTGAGGTTGATGCCCAGCAGAGCCTGCCCTCACCAGTCTTGCACTGATCACTCCAAGCTCTGACTCCAGAGTTCCCGCAACTTCAGAGGCAGTGGGGTGGTGGGTGCCCCAGACTCAGAAGTCCGCCCACGGGTGGCCCAGGCCTGGCAGCAGGGGTGGTCCGGGATTATTTGGGGTCGTCTATCTGGGGTGGGGACTCCCGAGTCCTCCCTCAGCGTCTCACCTTGACTCCTCCCAGGGCCTGTCCCGTTTCCCTCCGCCAATCCCAAGCTGCCGGTCACACAGAGAAGCTCGCTTCTCTCTAACCCGCAGTGCGCAAGTCAGTGGCCTCACATCCGGGCACCTGGGGCTTTCTTGGGTTGAAAGCGGAAGCGGAACCCGATTCAACGTGGATGGGGGAGGGAGGGGTGACGTTGGTGGAGGGGGTGGGAATTTTTGTGTGGGAGATGGCGGTATGAAGGTGGTGGGGGTTTGGGGAATATACCGGCGCTGGTGGGGGATGGGAGTGTGGATGGGTTTGGGAGTGCGAATGGGAATGGAAACGGGCTGGGGGGATGGGAATGCGGGTGGGGGATGGGAACAGGAGTGGGGTACGCTCACCCCTCCCTTATGGTCCTGAGGTTGATGCCCGGCAGAGCCTGCCCTCACCAGTCTTGCACTGATCACCCCAAGCTCTGATTCCAGAGTCCCCTGCGACTTCAGAGGCAGTGGGGTGGTGGGTGCCCCAGACTCAGAAGTCCGCCCACGGGTGGCCCAGGCCTGGCAGCAGGGGTGGTCCGGGATTATTTGGGGGCATCTACCTGGAGTAGGGGCCTCCCGAGTCCTCCCTCAGCGTCTCACCTTGACTCCTCCCAGGGCCTGTCCGTTTCCCTCCGCCAATCCCAAGCTGCCGGTCACACAGAGAAGCTCGCTTCTCTCTAACCCGCAGTGTGTAAGTCAGTGGCCTCACATCCGGGCACCTGGGGCTTTCTTGGGTTGAAAGCGGAAGCGGAACCCGATTCAACGTGGATGGGGGAGGGAGGGGTGACGTTGTGGAGGGGGCGGGAACTTTTGTGTGGGAGATGGCGGTATGAAAGTCGTGGGGGGTTGGGGAATATACCGACGCTGGTGGGGGATGGGAGTGTGGACGGATTAGGGAGTGCGAATGGGAATGGAAACGGGCTGGGGGATGGGAATGCGGGTGGGGGATGGGAATAGGAGTGGGGTACGCTCACTCCTCCCTTATGGTCCTGAGGTTGATGCCCAGCAGAGCCTGCCCTCACCAGTCTTGCACTGATCACTCCAAGCTCTGACTCCAGAGTCCCCGCAACTTCAGAGGCAGTGGGGTGGTGGGTGCCCCAGACTCAGAAGTCCGCCCACGGGTGGCCCAGGCCTGGCAGCAGGGGTGGTCCGGGATTATTTGGGGTCGTCTATCTGGGGTGGGGACTCCCGAGTCCTCCCTCAGCGTCTCACCTTGACTCCTCCCAGGGCCTGTCCCGTTTCCCTCCGCCAATCCCAAGCTGCCGGTCACACAGAGAAGCTCGCTTCTCTCTAACCCGCAGTGTGTAAGTCAGTGGCCTCACATCCGGGCACCTGGGGCTTTCTTGGGTTGAAAGCGGAAGCGGAACCCGATTCAACGTGGATGGGGGAGGGAGGGGTGACGTTGTGGAGGGGGCGGGAACTTTTGTGTGGGAGATGGCGGTATGAAAGTCGTGGGGGGTTGGGGAATATACGGGTGCTGGTGGGGGATGGGAGTGTGTATGGGTTTGGGAGTGCGAATGGGAATGGAAACGGGCTGGGGGATGGGAATGCGGGTGGGGGATGGGAACAGGAGTGGGGTACGCTCACTCCTCCCTTATGGTCCTGAGATTGATGCCTGGCAGAGACTGCCCTCACCAGTTTTGCACTGATCACTACATACTCTGACTCCAGATCCCCTGCGACTTCAGAGGCAGTTGGTTTGTAGGCGCCCCAGACTCAGAAGTCTGGCCACGGGTAGCCCTGGGCTGGCAGCAGGAGTGGTGTGGGATTATTTGGGGTCGTCTATCTGGGGTGGGGCCTGCTGAGTCCTCCCTCAGCGTCTCACCTTCACTCCTCACAGGGCCTGGTCCGCTTCCCTCCGCCAAGCCCAAGGTGCCAGTCAGACAGAGAAGCTCGCTTCTCTCTAACCCCCAATGCGCAAGTCAGTGGCATCACATCCGGGCACGTGGGGTTCCTTGGGTTGGAAGCGGAAGCGGAGCCCGATTCAGAGTGGATGGGGGTAGGAGGGGTGAGGTTGGTGGAGGGGTCGGGTATTTTTGTGTGGGAGATGGCTGTATGAGGGTGGTGGGGGGTTGGTGAGGATAAGATTGCTGGTGGGGTTGGGGGGATGAAAGGGTTGTGAATGGGAATGGAAACGGGGTGGGGGATGGGAATGGAGGTGGGGGATGGAAATATGGGTGGGGTAAGCTCAGCCCTCTTTTATGGTCCTGAGGTTGATGCCCGGCAGAGCCTGCCCTCACCAGTCTTGCACTGATCACCCCAAGCTCTGATTCCAGAGTCCCCAGCGACTTCAGAGGCAGTAGGGTACTGGGTGCCCCAGACTCAAAAGTCCGCCCACGGGTAACCCAGGAATGGCAGCAGGAGTGGTCGGGGATTATTTGGGGTCATCTATCTGGGGTGGGGACTCCTGAGTCCTCCCTCAGCGTCTCACCTTGACTCCTCACAGGGCCTGGCCCGCTTCCCTCCGCCAATCCCAAGCTGCCGGTCACACAGAGAAGCTCGCTTCTCTCTGACCCCCAATGCGCAAGTCAGTGGTCTCACATCCGGGCACCTGGGGCTTTCTTGGGTTGAAAGCAGAAGCGGAACCCGATTCAACGTGGATGGGGGAGGGAGGGGTGACGTTAGTGGATGGGGCGGGAATTTTTGCGTGGGAGATGGCAGTATGAGGGTAGTAGGGGTTGGGGAGGATAGAGGTGCTGGTGGGGGATGGGTGTGTGGATGGGTTTGGGAATGGGATGGGGTGGCAGATGGGAATGGGGTTGGGGGATGGGAAAAGGCTGGGGTATGCCTAGCCTTCTCATGGGGTCCTGAGGTTGATGTCTGGCAGAGCCTGTCCCCATCAGTCTTGCGCTGATCACTCTAAGCTCTGACTCTGGAGTCCCCTGAGGCTTAAGTGGCAGTGGAGTGGTGGCACCGCCCAGACTGATAATTCCTCCCAGGAGTGTCCCAGGGCTGGCAGCTGGATTTTGGGGGGTTGTCTATGTGGGGTGGGGAGCCTCCTGAGTCCTCCCACAACATCTCATCTTGCCTCCTCATAGAGCCTGGGCAGGCTTCCCTCTGCCAATCCGAAGCTGCAAGTCAGACCGAGAAGCTTGTTTCTCTCTAACCCCCAGTGTGCAAGTCAGTGGCATAACATTCGGGCACCTGGGGCTTTCCTGAGTTAAAAGCAGGGGCAGAACCGGGGATTCTGCCCAGATGGGGATATGGGTGTTGGGGGGTGGGGGTGCGGGTGTGGGGGTAGGGGATGGGCATGGGGGGGTTGAATCGGGGTTGGGGGTATAGGGGTGCTGGTAGGGAATGGGGGTGTGGATTGGGTTAGGAGTGTGGATGGGAATGAGGTGGGGGATAGGAATGGGCGTGGGGGACCCTCAGCTCTCTCTTAGGGTCCTGACTTTGATGCCTGGCACAGCCTGCCCTCACTTTGCCTCCTCAGAGATCCTGCGCCTGCTTCCCTCCGTGAACCTCAAGCTGCTGGTCAGACTGACAACCTCGCGTCTCTCTGATTCCCAATGCGCAAGTCAGTGATGTCACATCAGGGCCACCTGGGTTGACAGTAGGGGCAGAACCTGATTCCGCCAGGGTGGGAGTTGGGGTGGGGGAGGAGGCGAGAGGTCCTGGAGGTAGGGGTTGATGTAGGCGTGCCCCTCAGTCCTCCCTCAGAATTCTGACTTTGATTCCTTGCATAGCCAGGACCCCTGTTCTCTGCGGATGGTGTCTGCTCCCCTCAGACCAAGGTTCTAATTCCGAGTCCCCTGAGGTCACAGTGGGAGGAGAGGTGCCCTTGGGCGACAAGGCCGCTGGGATCTTCCAGGGCTGACAGGAGGGACTAAGCTGGATTCTGTGGCTCCTCTTTGTGCGGGGGTGGACCCTCAGTCTTCACTCAGGAGGGTCCTCCTCCTGGGTCCTGGCTCTTTGTTGAAGTGATGGGTTGGAGATGCTCTGTTTTTCTCACCTCTGAGCATTTGCCCAGCTGTACCCCTTGCAGAAAATGGCTGCGGGTACCAGGCGAGGTGTTCCCTGGGTGGCTGCAGCACCCGTTATTGTAGTGACCTCTGGGAGAAGATGCACACCTTCCTACAGGGGCTCCTCCTCAGCCAGAGCTGGGCTTTGCAAACCTTTTTTCCTCAAAGAAATATATTTTACATATCTTCCGAGGATATATGTAGGTGGCAACATATATATTTATTTCTATGAAAGAATACCTACCCTTAGTTTGCATGATTCACTCTGATACCCTATTCAACTTCTATTCTATTGTTTATGTTCTGTTAAAAGAATTCTTTTCGAAACCAGCCTGGCCAACAGGGTGAAACCGCGTCTTCACTAAAAATACAAAAACAAAAAAATTAAAAAATTAGCCGGACGTGGTGGTGGGAGCCTGTAATCCCAGAGCTCTGGAGGCTGAGGCAGGAGAATCGCTTGAACCCGGTAGGCGGAGGTTGCAGTGAGCCAAGATCGAGTCATTGCACTCCAGCCCAGGCGAGAGTCTCAATAATAATAATAATAATAATAATAATAATAATAATAATAATGCCAATCCTCACCCACTAAGTTGGTTTCGGGTTGTAATTAGCAGATCTCTGGAACCATACTGCCTTAACCAAGCCAATTTTCCTGCTGTCCTGCTATTACCCTAGGGCTACTGGAATCGTGTTTTGAGGTGCTGCCTCAGATTGTGCAATGCAGTGAAGTGGAAATTTTAAAATGTTCATCCTATTCGTTCTGTCATCTGACGTCTAAGCAGGCTAAAGACTTCTCCAACATCCCTGCAGCCCACCCCTCTAATCGACACCACCCCAAACACAAGTACCAGTTCAAAGTACAGTCCTCAGTCTCACCCAGGACTTTCTGTGTTTTGTTGCTTAGATTTTATTGCTGATATTGTTGTTTTTTCTTTCTTTCTTTTTCTCTAATATAATTTTCCAGAGTTGATTAGGGAAGCAGAGAACAGTAGCCTAAATTTGACTGTAATTTTGGCAGCCACAGGTAAGACAATAAATTGTAAGTAATTTAAGCAGAATTGACATTTTTACGATGTTCTGCTCCTGATCAATGAATATGTTATGGTCCTCTACTTATTTCAAACTCCTTTTACCTGAATCTATCAGTATACTTTGATAGTTTCCTCTAGAAAGACCTTACACATTTTTCTTAGGCTTCTTTTTTGGTAATTCTTGGATTTTGTTGCTATTGCAAATGGCATATTTTCTATTAATTGTTCTAATTAATGGAAATTAATTAATTCTAATAGTTATTCCTATTGTGTGGCAGAGAGTTTGATTTTGCTATAGTAATCTGTTGTACACCTCGTTCTGAAAACCCATTCACTTGGATATTCCACATGCCTTTTTCTTTTAATTCTCAAGAATGATAAGGGTATTATCACTAAACATTATGTATTTTTCCTATATTCACGCCCCTTATTTATTATGATACTTATAGCTCTGACTTTGTGTCTCAGTGATGATTTAAAACGTAGAGATAATAGCCTACATCTACTTCTTGTTCCTGCCTTTAATGATAATTCTTTGAACTTTTCACATTTGGTTGCTGTTGATTTTTGGAAATGGATGTTCTCTTTCAATATAGGTTAACTAAATATTTTTACCATGAACTTATATTGAGTTTCTTCCAAAAGCTTTTCCTGTACCCATTGATGTATGTGATCAAATTTTTTCTCCTCTATTTTGTATGTAAAAAATTACAATGAAACTTTTTTTTCTAATGTTAAATCATGTTTTCTTTCCTTGGGCAGAGCTTGTTTGTTCATTTAATATTCTACTAATTTACATAAATTACATATTTGCTGCTATGTAAGAGAGCTTGTTTATGTGTTTTTTCCATCGGGAGTGGGGGGTGGTCCTCATCTGATTTTTGAATCCAGGAGGGTTAATCTGGGAGAATGAATTGAAGAATTGTCTATATTTTGCGTGCTTTGGAAGAGTTGAGATAAGATGATGGTTAGTTTTCCTCGATCGTTTGGTGGAATCAGCCTCCAAAACTGACTAACCTGGAACGTTTGAGGGTGGCTTGAGCTTTCAATATTGTAGTTTCAGTTTGTGTCATTTAATTCAAGTTTTCTTTTTGGATCAATTTGGTCATTTATTTATTTTATTTCTACAAAATAGTTTCACTTAGGATTTCATTTTTAATGGCATGATATTTATGATAAAAAACGTTTTTAGTTTGTTTGTGTGTGTGTGTGTGTGTGTGGTTTTTTTTGTTGTTGTTGTTGTTGTTTTTTAATCAGGGAAGCCTCACACATATAGAGTAATAGAGAGACTAACATAATGAACCCAGCATACCTGACACTCAGGATCAACAACTTTAAATACACAGCAAATCTGGTTCCAGTTAGACACTCACCTACCTGCAACTCAGTTGCTGGAATAATGTGGAGCAAATCAAAGACAGCATACCTAAATTTCATCTCTAATATAATTCTCTAAATAATTCAATATTCATTTCTAAATAATTCAATATTCATTTTTAAAATATGAGGACATTGTACCCAGCTGTACCCCTTGCAGAGAATGGCTGCGGGTACCAGGCGAGGTGTTCCCTGGGTGGCTGCAGCACCCGTGATTGTAGTGACCTCTGGGTCACAATCACTACAAACAAAAACCCAATACAATTCTCATTTCTAAAACATTAAATGATTATGAAATGTTCAATTGTTTTATGCACTTATCTGGAAGACTTATACTTTATAAAAATTTGTTTCTTTGAATGAGTACCCAAAAATAGTATTACATAGTGATTTTTTGTAATTAAATCTTTTATCACCTGTAGGTCCCCTCCACATGATCTGTTTTCTTGCCATTGCTTCGTTGTTGTTGGAAAGAAACAGATCTTGTGTTCTTTCCAGTTTTCCATAGTCTGGATTTGCAACACTGTGATGTCCTTTATCATATTCTTTAGCCCTTAATTTCTAGGGCTACAAAATGCCCCAGGCTCATCAGGTTTATGCCCTGCCCCAGTCGTAAATAAACAATTTCTCCAAATATCTGGTTCCTTTCAATGGGAAGTGGTTCTAGAAATCTACTTCTGGGTGCTAGGTGTGCTCATTGCTACTTTTGCTTTTGGTGTTTAATTTAAAAGCTCTTTAACAAAGTTATGTAAGTTTTATCTTATGATTTCTTATAGAAGTTGTATAGTTTTTGCATTTTGCATTAGGTCTATGATGTATTTTGAGCTAATTTTGTGAAATACCTAAGGATTTGTCTAGGTTATTTATTATTATTTTTGTTTAGATATCCAGTTGTTCATGTACCATTTGTTGGAACAAGTATACTTTCACCTTTATTGCCTTTGTTATAAATCACCTGATTATATGTGTGCAGGTCTATTTTGGGGCTCTATTCTGTTTTTTTAATCTATGTGTTTCTTTATCCATTCACCAAATGAAATACATCTTGGGTGCCCCTGTTTCTGGTGATTATTAAATAAGCTATTTTATACATTAATATACAATTTCTTATGTAGACATAAGTTTCCAAATTAGTTGGGTAAATACCTAGGAGTAGGATTGCTGAATCTTATCATAAGACTATGTTCAGTTTTGTAAGAAGATGCCAAACTGTCTTCCAAAGTGCCTGTACCATTTTGCATTTCCACCATCAATGAATGAGAGTTTCCTTTGTTCCATATCTTCACTAGCAGTTGGTCTTTTTTTATTATTATTGTAGACATTCTAATTAGGCGTGTAGTGGTATCTCATTTTAGTACACAATTCTCTAATGACAAAGGACGTTCAGCACTTTTATTACGCTTATTTGCCATCTGTATATCTTCTTTGGTGTAGTGTCTGTTCAGATCTTTGACTGTTTTCATTTATTTCTATCGTCGAGTTTTCAGAATTTGTGTGTATTGTAGAGACAAGTTCTTTACCACATATATATACTACAGATGTTTTCTACTAGTCTGTAGCTTCTGTTTTTATTCTCTTAACACTGTCTTTTGAACAGCATATGATTTTTATTTTAATAAAGTCCAACTTGGCAAATTTTTCTTTCATCGATGATGCTTTTGGTGATAAATTTAAAAACTCACCACCAAACTGAAAATTATATAGATTTACTCTTATGTTTTCTTATACAAGTTGTATGGATTTTGCATTTTGCATTAGGTCTATGATGTGTTTTGAGTTAATTTTTTTGAAATATGTAAGGATATGTCTAAATTATTGTTATGTATCTATAGATGTCCAATTGTTCAGGCACCATTTGTTGGGAAAACTATACTTTTACCATTATTGCCTTTGTTGTAAATCACCTGACTATATGTGTGCAGGTCTATTTCTAAGCCCTATCCTGTTTTATTAATCTGTGTGTCTATTCTTTGCTAATGCTTGTGTTCTCTGTCAAATTCATATTTTGAAGCTTTCGGCCCCAGTATGTCTGTATTTGGAGGTGGGGCCTCTAAGGAAGTAATTAATGTTAAAAGAGGTCGTAAGGGTGGGGCCTTGATCCCATAGAATTAGTGTGCTTATAAGAAGGGACACAAGAAAGCACTGTTGTGCTTGCATGAGAACTGTCTCTCTCTCTCTCTCTCTGTCTCTCACCCTTCCTCCCTCCCTCTCTCCATGCACATACACAGAAGAAATGCCAAGAATGGATGTAATGAGAAAGGGCCATCTACAAGACCACCTCCAGTCCTTTATCTGGGACTTTAGTCTCCAAAACTGTGAAAAATAAATAAATTTCTGTTGTTTCAGCTATACAATCCATGGCATTTTGTTATGGAAGTCAAAGCTAACTAAGACATAACCCCAGGGAACAAATTTTTCTTCTGTTTTCTTCTAGAAAAAAGTATTTTTGACATTTAGGGCTATGATTCACTTTGTTACACTTTTATATGGGGCTAGGCATGTGCAATGGTTAGTATTATGGGTCAACTTGTCTAGACTATAATATTCAGTTGTGTGGTCAAACACTAGTCTAGATGCTTCTGTGAAGGTATTTTGTAGATGTGATCAGCATTTAAAATCAGTTGATTTTAAGTAAAGTAGTTTACCTCCATAATGTGGGTGTGCCTCATACAATCAGTTGAAGGTCTTAAAAGACCAAGGTTTCCTGGAGAAGGAATTCTACCACAAGATTGGAACATAAAAACGCTATGTCAGTTTCTAGCCTGCTGGCCGACAGGCCAGATTTTGGATGTATCAGACCTCAGAATCACCTGAGACAGTTCCTTAAAATATATATCCTTGTCTTTCTCTCTCTCCCTTTTTGCATGATAGATAGATAGATAGATAGATAGATAGATAGATAGATAGATAGATAGAGTATGGATTGAAATTTAGTTTTGCATGTGGATATCCAATTGTTCCCGACCCAATTGTTGAATACACTATAATTTCTCTCCTCTAATCTTCATTTGCATCTTTATCAATAATTAGTTATCTATAGATGCATATACATGTGGATTCATTCCTGGAGTTTATTCTTTTCTGTTGATGTATTGCTGTAATTACGACAGTTCCACACTACACTGATTGTTGTTAGTTTACAAGCCTTGAAATGAAGCAGGGTAATCCCTCCAATTTCGTTCTATTTTTTAAAGTTTTCTTTAGCTATTCTAGGGCCTTTACACTTCTATATGAATGTTAGAGTCAGCCTCCCAATTTCTATTTAAATATTTCTGGAATTTGGATTTGGATTGCACTGAATCTTTCAAAAACCTTGGGGGAAAGTGACTTCTTAATATTCAGTCTTTTGATTAATGAATAAAGTTTATATCACTATTTACTTAGTTTCTCATTAAATTTATCTCTGTAATGTTTTATAGTTTTCACTGGACAGATCTTATACATCTTCTGTCATATTTATCCATTTAATATTTATTTTAAATTACATTGTTTTGTCTCAATTGCCACTTGCTCATTGCTAGTATAAAAATACAGGTATAATGATCTATATCCAGTGCCATTGCTAAACTCTTATTAGTTCTAAAAGCATTTTTAAGATTGATAGAATTGTCTGCGTATGCTCTTATTTTCTGTAAATAAAGACAGTTTTACTTGTCTTTTTCCAATCTGAAGGCCTTTTTTGAAAAACACTTATTACACTGGACAGAACCACAGGCACAGTGTTGATCTATTCTACTCAACACTACCCTGTTCCATGAACTCATCAGTTTTAGGTTGTATTTTTCTACAATGCAAACATCCTGCATGATTTCTGACAGGTGAAAATCTGCCTCATTCACCCTACACTGTTAAAATCCAAGCCTGGGTACTACACCTGCTGAGATGAGCATGACCCCACAGTTGAAACAAGATTCATAAGATATCCGGTGGAGGAAGTGTATTCACTGAAGTTTGACAGCCTGAAAGCAGTGATTTCACACTGGGAAAAACTGAAACCCCAGGAGACTGGGAAACCCCTGTGGACACTGGGAAAAGGAGGTACGATGGAAAAGTTCCCTGGTAGTAGCCAAGTGAGTGGTCTTCAAGATGTATAAGAGAAATTTTTAGGAGGAAAGTAGGGTGATTCACATCTACACATAGACTTAAATACAGCCAGATTATCTTAGAGAGATTTCTGGTAAAATAAAATAATAATAATAATAATAATAATAATAATTTTTTTTAACTAGATAATGGTGAATGGCAGGAGAAAACAGAAAGCAGCATTGAAATGGAGTGACCTGAGGGAAAAGCTTGGAGGAATAATTCTCTCCGTGCCATGTCACCCACCCCAGTTGAACATGGGAGGAAAGGAGCAGCACTATCTGTTTGGGAAAGCTCTTTAGCAGTTCTAAAGAAATGCCCCTCTTTTCTTCAACCAGACCACTCTGGCTTCCTCCTCATCCTTCCGTCCCCTCCTCATCCTTCCGTCCCCTCCTCATCCTTCCTCCTCTCCTCCTCTCTCTCCTCCCCGCTCCCTCCCACGACAATGTCCTGAAGGTGGTTTGTGATATCTAAGACCTTCTCCCCGACAGGGCAACCATTGGCTAAGTAGTAGCTTGCTGAACTAATCAAAGCTCAGGGGTCTCGTTCGTCATTGTCCTGGGAGGGGTATGTATGGGGAGACCAGGCAGCCTGGAATAGACAATTGAGAGACGCTGGCGAAGATGACCAGGAAATGACAAGCCTCCAGCCCAGTTTTGGAACAATTACCTGCCATCACCAAAGTGGCGAGGAAGAGGAAAGCCCCCTCTCAACCTAGATCTAGAAGCCCTATCAAGATAAATGAACCACCTGGGCTCCTCCCTTTCTTGACCCTGACTCTTCTCTCCCAAGACTCCTGCCCTGTCCTCACCTAGCACAACCCTCACCTCAGCCCATGCCTTTCTCATGAAGCCCCTGTTCCCACCCCTCCTCCATCCTCTTTCCCCAAACCAGTGCCCTTCTGAGATCTCCCTGTTGTTCCAGATTCCCAAGACAACTAGGAAGGGAAAAGGAACCCTTCAAGGGAGTTCCAGGAAAAAGTCTCTCCCAAAAAGACCACTGCTTCAGGAAAACCTGAGGAAGGGAGTGGACCAACAGTATCCTGCCATTGTGACCAGCTGAATGAAGAACTCCATCAAAATGAGCCATAGCAGGACCAAAACAGTGAGGAGACCTCCACCTTCTTCAGTGTCTCCCTGAGCAGTCAGTAATTTCAGGGCAAGCTGAGAGGTCTCCAGAGGTCTAACCCCAGATAAATAGCCAACAGGGTCTAGAGTACATTTTACACCCCACGGGGTGTGCCCCTTGGTGATCAAAATAAAATAAACCTGTTGTAAAATGATGTGTGGGTCTGTGTGCTCTCTGATGGTGGGGAGGGAGGAAGGAGGGAAGAGGTGGGAGTTTGGGGAGGGATGGGGTGGGGTCCATTTCAATTTCTTTAAATTCTACTTGCTCTTCTTTCTTTGGTTTCCTAGGGTGGAAATTTTGGTTATTGATTTTAGATATTATTTTCTAATATAAACATTTAAAATATGCTATAAATTTCCCTCAAGGAAATACTTTAGCTGAATCCCACAAATTTCTGTACATACAGTTTTATTTTCATTCGACCTAATATATTTTTAAAATTCTCCTAAGACTCCCTCTTTGGCTCATAGGGTATTTAGGAGCATTTTTAAAATTTCCAATATTTGGGCATTTTTCAGACATCTTGGTGTTTGATTTTTAGCTTAATTACATTGTGATCTAAGAAGATGCTTTATATTATTTCTATTCTTTTCAATTTGTAAGGTTTGTTTGATGGCCCAAAATACCATATATCTTGGTAAATATTTCATGCACACTCAAGAGGAATGCTTCTGCTATTGTTGGATGTGTTGTTTTTTGTTTTTTAATTTTTAATTAGGTCAGAGTAGTTAATGGTGCTGTTCAGGTCATGTATATCCTTCCTGGTTTTCTGCTTACTTTTTCTCTGAAATACTGAGAATAAATTCAGAGTTTTGAAAAATATAGTCCCAAGAAACCACAACCACAGTGAAGGTGCAAAATATATTCATCATCCCAAAAAGTTTATTCCTATTATTTTGCTGCCAAACCATCCCTTCAGTAAAAGTGACCCGCGGTGAGCTGAAGTGAGCATCTGCCAACCATGAATGCTTTCCCTTACAACAGAGGCAGGTAGGCACAGAGAGGGGCAGTTACTCTCACACACAGACAGTATCCAGGAAGAAAACCAGATCAGTAGTGTCATAGAAGGCCAGCTTGCTGGCCTGGTCACAGGATGCCCCTCCCTTTCTTGTGCACTGCCTGCCTCTAAGTCTGGCTCTGCCTTCCTGGCCTCCCTGGCTCAGATGAGTGACTCATTCCTTCTGCAGTTATGATCCAGGAATTTCAACCTTGCCCAACTCCCAGCTACTTCCTTAGCATGACCCGAGTACTGCTTCCTGACTAAGGCAGAACATCTAGTCTGCTTTATACACCAGACACCAGACATCTGGACTTTGGTCCTAAAGGTTTCTTGAGGAAGGCACATCAAGAGCAAAGGTAGTAACCTTATATTTCTTCACCCAAATGCCACATGGGAACCACAAGTGACAGGCTGTTTGACATCTGGTAGTCACACTCTGAGGACTTGGGTGTTGCAGACAAAACTCTTGGTAAGCCTAGTGAAGGAAGATATTTTTCCACTAGTTTCTCTGTCACTCTCTTTTCCAGCAGCCCCTAAAGCCACTGCCAGATGCAAGAGTCTCATGCTCTGCCACATTGTAGCTGAGCCACAGTAATCCTCTCTGGGCACCATGGGGATTAGGAACACAATATGGTGAGGCACTTATAGATGACAGTCTAACGGCTTGCTCTACTCCCATTTTTCTGCTAAAAACCTGAGTCCCCAAGGAGGGACTAAGACATTGAAGCTAACATCTTATGGTTCCCAAGCTCTTTAATATATAGTATTGGAAGAAAGGCAAAAGGAGGCTCTTATTTCCATTTTTGGAAATCAGAATCCTGGAGTTCTAGTTGGTAAAGTGTCTTGCCCAGGGTAAGTGGCTTTTGACGTTTCCGCTGCCCTGTGGAACCTTTTTCACAACTGGCATAGTGGCTCAGCTGGGCCAGCCAGAGCCCTGCTCCTGAGAAGCTGTGAATATCCCATGTTCTTTACAAAGAGCACTGTACGGAGCAAGGAATATCTGTTACTGTCAAGTAGAATAGCCGGCAGAACGAGCAAGAACCTTTGAGATCCTCATTCTATGGAGGAAACTGAAGACCAGAGACAACAGGGTCTTGTCCAAGATCACAAGCAAATTCATAAATGGCAGAGCTGAGCTGCTATTGCCTGGCAGGCTTGGGATCATCCAGGGAAAACATGGTTGTTCCCTGTGGTTTCACCTGCCTATGTGTGCTTCTGAGAGTGTGTCACTATTCCCTCATTGCCCCTCCCTCTCTCTGCATAGGCCATGTGGATTGTCCTGCCAGCCTCTCTCCACCCATGCAGGGTCAGTGCTACTGGTTACTACAGTTCAGTGGCCAGGCAGAGGACCTTGTGGTCTCACAGACCCCAAGATGACTGGAGGGGGAATACCCTGAGAAGTCCCAGGATCAACCTTTGTCTTCCTGATGGAGAGCCCCACCCATTGCTTCTCCTGCCTCTGGTGTCTCACTGACTTGGCTTGAATCTCTCACTCTTGCTCCGGCACAGGCCCTGTTTTCCTTGCCTTCTATGCCTCTGGGGATTTATTCATAGCACTTCCATCCTCCTCTCTCAGACTCATCTTTCCTTACCACCAAAAGCCACAAGCTGGGAGGCTGGGCCCTCTTCTCAGTATGTTTCTGTGGACTCCATGAGTCTTCCCCAAAGTTTTGAGAGGTCCAGGTTTCCACGCTCAGGAATAGAGGCTCAGAAAAGTGAAGTAACTTGCTGCAAGTCACACAGACACTAAGGAGTAAAGCCAGGATTGGAACCATAACTTGGATTTCAAAGCCTGGGCTCCTGCCACTGCACATGAGCCTCCCTCTCTGGGTGGCCTGAAGTATCCTGCTAGGAGTAAGGAAGCAATTGTGGCATCATGGTGATGGGACAAAATGAGAATCAGAATACCTGGATTGCTTCCAGTTCCAGCTTGGCCCCTTGCTGCCTATGCAGCCTTTCCATAGCCACCTCATCTTTCTGGGCCTTGGTTTCCCAGCTATATAGTGTGGACTACTTTGCAAATCCTTTCTAGACTTCAGTCAGTCAACATATCTTTAGTGCACACAGATTTTGTGCTAGATTGTTCCAGGCACTAGGGAACAGTTACATAAATTCTCAAGGAGCTCATAGTCTATTGAGGGTGGAGGGTTAGAATACATAAATAAATGACCAAAGTAGATTATTCCATGCTTGCTGAGTGCTACAAAGATTCACTAGGAAAAGTGGTGGGAAGTGCTGGGGGCGGGGGGCTGCTTTAGCTAGGATGCTAGGAGCTTAAGGTTGGCATGTGGCTCTAGCAGAATAGCACATCTGGAAATGCTCAGCACACCAGGCTGTAATGTAAGAAGGGCAGGCCAGTTGGTCTCTTACCTTCAGATCCTTGTATCCCATTCTCAGTCCTAACCATCTCCTCCTACTTCCTGGCCTTCAGCTTGCCCTGGCTTGAATCCCTTGCTCCAGCTCCAGTTCGGGCCCTATTTCTCCCTGTCATCCATGCCTCTGGGACTTTCTTTGTAGCACTTCCATTCTCCTCTCTCAGACTCATCTTTCTTTAGCATTGTCTGAGATGCACCTACGGAGAGAAACCTGCCCCTCTCTAGCTCTTTCTGAGGCCTCACATATCTGTCTTCTTATGCTCTGGCCTCACAGGATGTGATTCTGTGTAAGAATAGCTCTTAGCACACGGATACTTCACTTAGCCCATCAGATGGGATCTCAGAAGGCTATGACTGCTTCAGAACCATTTTGGTGGCCCCCAACATTATACCGCATGCTGCCATAGTGGCAACAAGGCTTACAAGCTCTTAAACTGAAGGCTTTGTAAAGCCTGGCAATGCCAGGGTAGAGACAAGCAGAGGCTGGTGGTAGGGAGAAAGGGAATGTAGGAGAAGAGAGCACTGGGTTTGTCCAAAGTCACTGAGATAGAAGACCTAGAACCTTCCTTCATGAAATACCCTTTTCTCTATTTTCTCACAGATGACTTTCTTCTGACTCTCTTCTCATTACTGGCTGATCCCCCTCAGTTTTCTCTGTCCAACCATTAAGTGTGGGTGCTCCTCAGGACTGTGTCCTAAACCCTCCCAGCTTTTCCTCTCTGTCACCATACACTCCCTGGCTAATATTATCCATTCTCTCTCTCCAGTGTGGTATCTCTCCTGAGCTTCTGAGCTGAGTATATGGTTGTTTCCCAGGTCCCTCTACCTGGAGGCCTAACAGGCATCTCAGCCTCAACAAGACCCAAACCAGCCTCATCTCCTACACTCCAACACAAGAGTACCGTGATTAATCCAGCAGTCATAAGAATTGGAAATAAATGCTCACCACTCTACCTATTTCACTTCTAAATAACTTCTAACTTCATCTTCTCATCTCCATCTCCACTGCCACCATCTTGATACAGGCCTTTGTGCTGGTCCATTTGCCCTCGGAGCTATTCGTCACCCTTCCTCTGCTCCACTCTGTTTTTCAGGCTGCATTTTCTAACCTCTTGTGCTTCCTGGAGGGCGATTGGAGGGTGAGAGGAAGGGGGAAACCAGGGGGGTATATATTTTGTTCCTCTCTCTGCCTTAAACTGCATCCGTCTCCCCTGTGACTCCATCTCCCACCAACAGACACTCCGTGATTTCAGTTTCTACCACGTGGCCTTGTCCCAGGATTCTGGAAACCCTGGCTCCATTCTTTGCCTCTTCAGCCAAGGGCAGGTAGTGATTTCCTGCTGTTGCTTATCTCTGGGTTGACTTATCTTATGCAATACGGCTCATCAGTAATTCCATCTCCTATGTAACTAGTTCCCTGCATTACATTTATCCTCTAAAAAAAAAAATTGGAAGGGCTTCTCTTTCCCTGTTGAACCCTGACTGATATAGCCCTTATTACTTCTAGCCTAGCTTATTGTAACAGTTTTTTAGTAAATAATCCTGATTCTAGTCCTATTTCTCTCTAATTTGGTCCTAACACCACAGACAGAGTAATATCCCTTACGACAACTTTTCATAAAACTCAGCTCTTGAAGAGTTTTATGAAAAGTTATCGTAAGGGATATTACTGCATCTTGCCTAGAAGATGTAGTCCTTACCTTTGTTTGCAGTCTAATGGTAGGATGGGTGGGAGAGGAGACCATTGCCAGTGTTTGGTTACCAGATAGGGGCCAGGAC